CTGCTTCCCTAATCGAACTTGTTCTGTTAGCAATTGGCTCGCCTGAAAAAAACAATCACCCAGAAACGCCCACCTTGAGCCAATCGGAGAGGAATAGTGATTCAACTCCGGAACAACACATCGATAGTGACTCGCCAGAAGCTGCGAGCGCTCGAGTAGAAGGATCTTATCCATTCAACTTATAGTCCGGATCTTAGACCAAGTAATTACTTATACTTGCCTAACTATGACGAATAATTTGCTTGCTGAAGAATCGGATTGAAGGGAAGTCTACAAAGTTTTCAATTTAGTGCAAAAATAATGGTTTACGGGAGCAGTACTACAGCATATAACTGGCCTTCCAAGAAGGAGAATGTGGATAAGTCAAGCGGCCATTAGGGCCTTAATTTCATACAGCACAAAACCGGCTGCGATTGCATTGTGTAAAGAGGTGATTAAAGAAGGGTTTACATTTTTATTTTTTGGGTCTTACCAGTTCTATTTAGGGAAGTGAAACAAATGCAAGAATTAATCCTGCTTTGTCAGGTAAACCGACCTCAAGAACAAGCTAAAAACTTTAAATGAAAAATAATAAATGCATTCTAGCATTCTGCAGTAAATGTCAACCCCTTTGAATGTATTTCTGACATGAAATAAAAGCTCTTCACAAAAAAACCATCGGAGGCGGCTTAGTATACAATGTAGGTACCTCCATTTGTTGGAAGAAAAAACTATTAAGAAGTGAATCCACAAATTGGAGGAGGAGCTCGGCCGAAAATCGCTTCAGCGGCTACAAAGCGCAAATTATATATATTTTGTCATATATATGTATGTACATATGTAGTATAAATTACAAGAAAACAATTTGACAACAGAGTCTAAAATTTATTTTAATATTTATTGTTGATAAAATAATGTAATCGCAGCAAATCTCTTGACGTTGGAAGTTTAAACTGATTAAAGCAAGCGCAGGGGTGAATTCTTGTGACAAGAACAACGCCTTTGATTTTAATTTAAAATTGTGCTTTGCACGAGAGCTTTCCGAAAATGTTCCTCAAATGAATTTCGGCTGGAATGAGATGTTTTGGGATCTTTCCTTAAAAGCTTTATTTCACTGTCTTCCAAAGCAGTTTAAGTTGTAATGCGCAACACAATTTCTCAATTATTTAAATATTTGAACCAACATGTATATACATAACTGTACAAATATAGGTATATGTATATGCTTAAATTCAAAGAAAGATTTCCTTTATGATCTTGGCTCCCTTGTGAAGAATGAAGAAGCTTACGAATGAAAGTTGCAAGGTACAAAGATTTTAAAATGTCTCCTTTTCTTTAATACACTTCATAAGTATTTGCATTAAGAAAACTCATGTATGTATATACATATGCAAGCATTTACTTTACAAAAATAACTTATTGTAAAAAGTTTTTTATTTTCGGTTTTTTATTTTTTTTTTTCTTTGAAAAAGTTCCCTAAAAGCAGTGACAAAAAGAATATAAATGTTTACAATTGCTAAGGTTGTGTGTGCCTAAATGAAAACATAAACACATGCCCATATATATGCACTTTGTATATTTATGTTTCTTCTGTTCCTAAAACGGCCCAAAGTGGAGGTGAGAGGAAATGCGGTTGTCTTTCCTTTTTATCGTATTTCAGATTTTATTCTTTTATTGTGCTTATTTTTTCATTCTTTTTAGGTTTTTGACATTACACTAATATGTATTGTGCGAAGTTTTGTTATGATTATGTAGGTCATTGTCGAATGTTGCAAATAAAATAAGTAAAAATCATAAGAGTAAAGAAAATATAACATTTTCTCTAAATAATGGACTGCTTACGAGTAAGCGATGTCTTTACTTTCTTTAATGATTTTAGACATAAATAGTAATGACAATGATATAAAAAGTAAATAATGCATTTTTTGCACATTAAGGTTAAAAATCGGTGAAAATTCCGAATAATAAAATTAATTTTTAACATTCTTGCATCTTTATACATGATCAAGTGGTGCTCCACTGCGTATGATGAATATAAAAATATCCTGCTTGTATTCAAAGAACTTGGTTTTTCTTTGGAAGAAGTTCATTTGTTTACCTAATTCATTTAAAAAAAAGTACTTGAGTTAAAGGGCTAAATTACATTAAAAAATATTGAATGACATTGATATAATTAGTGCAAACATACGTTATAAGATATATATATATAAAACATATACAGGTTTTCAATTATTATTAGAAAATAGAATATGTCACAGTTTATTAGGAGTGACATAATTACGGTATGTGAGAACAAAATTACCAATATTTGTGTTTATGTATGTATGCATGAATGTTACACTATTATTGTAATTATATTTTGTTGGTCAAATGTTAAATGCCAAATCATTTTAACTCAATTACTTATTGCTAATTGTAAGATATATAGACAAGCACTAAAATGTTGCAGCATCACGTTTGTATTGAATATTTAAAATCAAGTAATATTGAGTAATCTATGAATTTCTATTCATGTCAAAGAGATATCGTTGCTGAGGCAATAATGCGACTAAATTGATAATTGAACTTTTAATAGCTTATACATTTGAAAGGGTATGTATATAATGCGAGTATATGTAAGTATATGTATATCTAAAATCAGAACAATAATAAAGTAAAATATCATAATATGCGTAAAAAAATTTAAATAAAAATAATTTATTATCATAATATTAAAAGTTATGTACAGTAATAAAATGAAATAATATAAATTATTCAAAAAAAAAAATAAAATTTTATAAAATGTGAAAAAAATAAATAAAAAAAAACATAATATACCGATATAATCTTTTTTTTTAAATTAAATATAAATAAATTTAAAAAAATATATTAACTAAAATAAAACAAAATAAACCATAATATTATAAAATAAAATTAAATCAAATTAGACTAAATAATAAAACATAAAAGAAATTCACAATAAAATAAAAAACCTGAGTTAAAATCAAATCATTTTAAATAAAATAAAATAAAATAAAATAAAATAAAATAAAATAAAGTAAAATAAAACCAAATAAAATAAAATTAAATTAAATAAAATAAAACAAAATAGAATAAAATAAAACAAAACAAAATAAAATAATATAAAATAAAATTGAATAAATAAGTGAAACATAAAATAAAATAAAAGGAAAATAAAGTAAAATAAAAAAATAATATATAGTAAACAAAAAAAATATAAACTAAAATAAAAACATTAAAAATAAAAAATAAAATAAGAAATAAAAAAATTACTTCAAATAAAATAAGAGAACTAAAACTAAAATGAAAAGAAATAAATTAAAATAATATAAGATAATATAAAATTATTATAAATAAAATAAAGTAAAATTAAATAAAAAAGCAAAAATAAAATAAAATAAAATAAAATTAAATTAAATAAAACAAAATAAAATATTTCCAATAAATTAAATTAAGTAAAACAAAATAAAATAATACAAAGTAAAATAAAATGATATAAAATGAAATAAAAGAAAACGATGTAAAATAAAATAAGATAAAATAACATAAAAAAATTTTTATATAATACATAAAATAAATAATAGAGAAAAAAGATCAAACGAAAAAATTTTAATTAATTTAAATTGAATAAAATAAAATGAAATAACATAAATGCTATAACATAAAACAAATAAAAATAAAAAAAAATTATATTAAAGCATAAATGATATAAAATAATATAAATAGAATGAGCAAAATCAAATATAATTTAATCAAATGAAATGAATTAAACAAAACAAAAATAAAATAAACTAAATAAAAAATTGATATAAAATTAAAACTAAAAAAATTTAAGTTGATTAAAATTAAATATGAAACATTATAACACAATAAATAAAGTTGTATAAATTAATGAAATTAAAACAAAATAAATACTTTAGTAAGAAATTATAAAATAATTAATTGTTAAAATTTTAAACTTTCGCACATGCGACTTGAGCATGTCAAAAAGGTATACAAGCGTAATATATTTACTTCATGTGCGGTACAATTGATATGTGGCAAAATATAATTGTGGACCATAAAATTAATTATTAAGTAAAAATACACATATCAAAATATATGCATACATACATTAAATATGTCGGTGTTGGCTCGCATCAGTGACCAATAAATACTGCATTGCATGCAAAAAAGTAAAAAATTCCGATATTGCAACAAATATTTGCGGCAACCTTTTGTTGTATTTATGGCTATTGTATGCAGTTAAATGAAGTTACAATGAGTTGTTATTAAGCGCATTTTGTTAAATACAATTGAACAATATTTGCATTAAATATAAGCACTATTTAACACTCACATTATGCGAAATTTTTTTTTTAGAATTCAAAAAATAAATATGAGATTAAATCAATTAAATTCGATTGCTTGTCATTTGAGTGAAATAGTGTGGAAAATATACAAAAATTTACACAATTTTATGAACAAATGATGCGCTAAGTCAATTAATTGCTTTATTTCATTTGTTCAACAATTACATAAATGTATGCTAAAGTACTTTAAATATGTATGGAAATTGTTAACAATTTTAATTTAAATCAGTATTTGTACTTTGTGAAATAGCGGATATATTGATTTTTTTCGTGTAATTCTAGTTGTTCCATGACAAAAACTAATTTTTTTCAAATAAGAAACTAATTAAATTTAGTAGAGAAAATTGTTTGCGTGTAGTAGATAATTTAAATGGAGAACTGTCGTTATTTAAAAGTTATGACAAATGTTTGTATATATGTAAGTATGTTAATTTCAAGCTGTTACTAAGGCAAAAAACATAGAAATAAATAAACTAATTATTTTTAGTATGCAGTTTGAAGTGAAAAAATTTAATTTGATAATAATATTTCTACTTTTGTTATACGACTTATTTTCTGTAAAAAAGTTACAATTTTTTTTCTCTATTCACATAATAATTTTACTAAGACATAAGAATTTTATTTCCTTACTATTTTATAGTAAAATTTTTAAAATATTTAACGACTTACATTTTTATTAAAAATTTGCAAGGTAGTTTTCCCACGATGCGAACGCAAAATTATGTGTTGATACTCTGAAAGGGATAATAATTTACAAAATTAGTAGAACATATTTATAAAAATTGCTGGAATATAATACTAAAAAGAAAACAACTTTAATATTTTAATTTTGATTTGAAAGCAAAAAGTATTAATAAAAAATTAAATATTAAAAATATATATATTAATATGTTTAATACAATATGTCGACATAATTATAAGCTTGTTCCAAAAATATGATACTAAAAAATATTGCAAAAATTTTAATTTAAAAAAATTAATTGGTTTCTCATTTTTAAAATTTTTTTTTATTTTTTTGTTTAATTTATTGCTTTTCTTTTTAATTAATTTTTTTTTTATTTCATTATTATCCACTAAATTAAATATTTTTTAATTCAAGTTCTCAAATAGCTAAATGATTTTTTAATTGTCATATTTTCAATTTATAAATTTTTGTTTTATTAGTTTCCTATTTTTGGTAAATTTTATTTGGTTTTTTTCTTATTTTTTTTATATATATATATTTTATATTTTTTCTTATATATATTAATACTCGACTGTACTATGTACACAGAGTATATTGACTTTGTTCAGCTAAAGGTTGCATGTAAAGGCAAAAAATAATCGAGATACATTTCTATGTATCAAATTTCATGGAGTGATGAGACCAATCGAATTAGTTATGCCTGTCTGTCTGTTTACACGGTAATTCAAGTAAAGATTGAGTTATTTTGATGAAACTTAATTCACACACTCCTTGAGTCACAAGTACGTACCCTATCGAAAATATGCGAAAACGGTCTAAGTTCACGACCACATACCTATAACGGTTCAAAAGTACGAAGATCGCGATAATTCAGTTACTAAACGTGTACGCTCCCTGCCTGACTCACAATCGAATTTTTTTTTTACTCATTCAATGAAAGTCCAGCAAGCCGTATGGCGTTTAATATAATACAATGCAATTATCAGCTTGCTTGGCTATAGCCGAACTTAGTCTTCCTTAATATTTTCTTTTTCAATAATTTTTTAGATAATATTTATTTTTTAAATTTTTGGAATTTAAAATTTTTCAAATTTGATTTAAAATTATTATGGGTTAGTTCAGAAGTACTCCATTAAAATTTTTAATAGCTGCATATCACTTGAAATAACTGTAACGTAAATTAAAAAGTTTGTGCCAAATTGGGTAGTTAATTTAAATTTTATTACTTTAGACATTTTTTTAAAATTCCCACAATTTTAGGTAAATAATTTCGAAAAAAATCTCTTTAATCCTTAATCTTAAATTTATTAAGGGAATTTTTTTTAATTTTTTCCATTGATTTCGAATAAGAAAATTTCCAATTTAATTTTTGAAAAATTGTTGAATAATTTATTGAGTATTTCCGGCAAGAAAATTTCAATTATTACTTATTTTAGACTAATTTGAAATTAATATTTATTAAAAAAAGCCCATATTTAGATATGTATTTGTATGTATGAACATAAACCCGTTTAAGAATTTGGTCGAAAGACTAAAAAATCTGGTCTGCCTTTTTTGTACACTCCAAAAGTGCGCTTTCGTTAATAAATATGTACATACATACGCGTTTATATGCAGCAACGTTTCTACATGGCCACAAGCTGTATTTGTACTCAGCTATTTAAAGGTCGTTTTGCTCTTATCTCAGCTACGCATTCTGATACACATTTAATAAAATCTCAATGTCACCCATAACAGACATATATTATATAACAAAGGAAAAAGCAAACAGAAAAAAATAAGAATAAAACGAAACTCAGTCTAAAATATGTTAAAACACTAGAGGTAAACAAAGGAAAGATGGCTTAAGAAAATTAAAAAAAAAAAATAAAAGAAAATAAAAGATGAGAATGAAATAAGAAAACATGAAAACTAAAGCAAAGAAAGTTAAATCACAAAGAAACAAATATTTATAAGCGCTTCTAAATTGTGTCTTACGAAGAAGTATATATACTCGTAAGTTAGTTAAAACGTATGTAAGCATAATTATACATTCGCACTCGTAGGCATCTAAATACTTAATGCATTACTTAAACACTTTCAGCAGCTTTACTTGGAGTGCATTTAAATATTTACGCAAAAGAGCGCTCTCTGTTTGATTTACAGTATATATGTATACTCGTATATACATATACTTGTATGTATGTATATTTGCAACATCGTTCTAGATTTCAATTTGCCGCACTTACTTACTGCCCAGCAACACCTGGCGCGCGCCCATTCATGTCTTTGCATATAATTATGCTATAAAGGAAACGAGCAGCTAATGAATTAACAGTTTCTCGCAGCGGCTTAGGAAAAACATGTTAAAAGCAGGCTGAAATAATGGAATAACAACAAAAAACGAACAATCGCATAAATGAGTAAGTGGCTAGTTAAGTAGACATCAAAAGCCAACTGTAAAAGACTTAAACGCTACTTACGCACAATTATGCCCTGCAGGTAAAGTTACTTCTTTTAAACTAGTTTGATACTAGTCTCATTCATACCAGTAAAATACTACTTAATTTGAGAATGTTGGATTTATGAGTACGCAAAAATATAATAAAAAATAAATTTTGCTGCAAAAAGATCGGGAATCTCAACAACTTGAATGTATTTACTAGTAAACCAGAGTTGAAACGAAATAGTTAATCCATTTATTTTTATTCAAATCTCTTTTTGACAAGTCTCTTTAAATTAAATTGATAAATACTCTATAAATTTAATTCATATTTGTTAAGAAATTTTAAGTGACTACAAATGCACATTTATAAATGCAATATCAACAGTTCCAATGACATGCATGCAATGACAAATTTCCAAAGGAATTTTTCTGTAGAAAGTGAACGCGCCCGTTAAATAATTGCGGCGAATTCAATTCGAAGAAAAAAGCAGAGGTTGGTTTTTTCTTGGTACAATCATCAACTTCTGCGAACGAACCAAAGCACCCTGAGTTGACAGACTTTATATTAATTTATTTTTTTTTATTTTATTTTATTTTATTTTATTTTATTTTATTTTATTTTATTTTATTTTATTTTATTTTATTTTATTTTATTTTATTTTATTTTATTTTATTTTATTTTATTTTATTTTATTTTATTTTATTTTATTTTATTTTTTTTTTTTTGTTTTATAATTTCATTTTTTTTTTTGTTTTGTAATTTCATTTTTTTTTTAGTATTTTAGTTTATTTATTTCTAATGCATAAATTTTTGCCTTGAAAGTTTTTAACGCCAAAATGAGCTTAGTTAGTACTCGGTTGTTTAATATACTAAATTGTGGGTTATTATAAACTTTGCTTAAATAATTTGAGCTACTTTAATGTCGACCGCAATTAATAAATGTTTAATTGCTGCCACTTCAAAGTTCATGAGTATGTAAGTAGGAAAGGTAGGTAAGAAATTTGTAGTTGAATGACTTGCCGGAGTTTAAAAGCACTATGAATTCATAAAAAATCATGACATACTTTAATTTTTTTACAATTGTTAGTTATTATCATTTATTGCACTTTATAATTCTAAATTATTTAATTTTTATTTTATTTTACTTTTTTTACTGTAAATTGACTATTTCTGTCGCAAAAATAACTACATATTACCACCACATCTAACAAATTTTAGATATTTAATAAAAGGTTTTGGTAATTTGGTTTTTCAATGACTTATTTTAGCTCTAGGATTCATTCTGGTTATTAAAAAAATTTTAAGTAAATAAAATTTATGGATTTTTGGACAAATAAAAAAATGTTTACAGTAAGTGCAAATGTGAATCTCACGACAAATCATGTATTCATCTATTCATCACTTCGTTAAATACATGCTCTATATACATATATAAATCATTAATTTTTTCTCACTCACAAGTGGTTCATTTAATACTGACAATGAATAAACAAATGTGATTGGATAACTTATTTTTTTTTTTTTTGCAAAGAAAATTTCTTATATAAAAGCTGAAGTGTAGATTTTGATTGATTCGAAAATTTAGCAAAATATGTTGAGGTGTAAAGAAAATTATTTATATCTGCTAGAACATGCAAATGCGCAAAGTACAATCAAGCAATTAATAAACAACTAAGTATTTCCATTTACTCGTTTACATACGAGTATGGATGGATATGTATTAGACACAATTCTCAAATAAAAACCCGCTAAATTAATGCGAATTTCATTCGCTATAAAAATTCCATTGCATTTACTTTCATTTTATTCATACACATGAGTATAATACGTAAATGGAATATGTTTCCTTATTCCGAAGTAGTAAATAATAATAAAATCATTATGAATAAATCAACTGAACAACTAATTAATACCCGAAGTCAGGAAAATTGTTTATTAGAAAAAAAAATTTATTTAAAACAAAATTTTTTATAACAAAAAAAAAATATTCACAAAATTATTAAGATAATGAAAATTAAAAAAAATAATTCAATTTATGGAGAAATTAAAGACTATAGATTAAATAAATTGAAAAAAAATTTAACATTTTTTAATAAGAAATATTTATTTATTTTATTTATCCGAAAAAAAAACATAAAACAAATTAAAAGTAGGCAAAGTAAAAAAATAAAAAAAATAAAATAAAATTACAACTATATTTAAAATATAAATAAAATAACATGAAGTTAATTAAATGAAATTATTTCAACTAAAAGATTAATTAGCAAAAAAAAATTAAGCAAAAAAATTCAATTAAAATAAAAAAGAAAAATTAAAAAAGATAAAATTAAAACAAAATGATAAAAAGTAAAATAAATTCAAAACAAAGTTAGACAAAACATATAAAATGAAAAAAAAATTTACATAAAATAATATAGAATAAAAGAAACATAAAATCAAGCAAAAATTTGTAAATAATATAAATATTAATAAAATGAATTAAAATTAAAACCAAAAATATAAATAGATAAATTGAAATTAAAAATAATTTAAATAAAACAAATTTAAGTAAAAGTTCATAAATAAATTTAAAGGGATTAAAATAATTCAAATTAAAATAGAATAACTTGAAGTAAAATAAAAT